TAGTCTCACTCTGTTGCCCAGACAGGAGCGCTGTGGCACACTCATGGCCACCACAGCCTCAACCTGCTGGTCTCAGGCGATCTTCCCACCTCAGTCTTCCAAGTAGCTGGAACTACAGGTATGTGCCACCACGACCAGCTAATTTTTTGACTTATTATAGAGACAAGGTCTCACCAAGTTGCCCAGGTTGGTCTTGAACCCCTGGACTCAGGCAATTCTCTCGCCTCAGCCTCCCAAAGTGCTGAGATTACAGGCTTGAGCCACATTTATATTTTCACTCCCTGTTCCCCATCAGAGAATTATAGGAAAACAAATCTCAGATATCATACCATTCACCCCTTAAATAATTCACTGCGTATCTCTGAAAGATAAAGGATCTTTTAAAGAATGTAACCATAATATCATTTCAAACCTAAAAGTATTACAATACTTTAAATATCACCATATACCCAGTCAATCAAGAAATATACCAAAGTCTAAGAGAAGAAAGTCAAATATCAAGAAAACTAGCACCCCAAAAGATGCCCAACTAGAAAACAAACTATTCCCCTGCAATAAAAAGGAAACAGCATTTTCTTAATTCAGAGAGCTTCAGATCAGGGGCTTTAATGGGGAGGCCTAGAATGGCAGGTCACGTCACACGGACATCTGAACTATTTTTTTCTTAGTGGATAGCACTTATCAGAAATGTCAAGGAGCTTGAGACCCACAACATTGAAAGACTTTCTGCTGCTGACTTTCCTGCTTAGTGGCAGACTTCGCATTGCCAGGAAGGATTAGTCAAGCAGGAGAACAAATCCACCTCAAATAACTTAGAGATCACACTGAATTAAACTCAGCATGGACCGAGCGTACATAAGTCCAAGACACTGGGCTAAGTTTTGAGAAACCAAGGCAAATGCAACCTAGTCAATCGATAGTCGAGAATGAGAAAGAGCCAAAAGATTCATAGTAGTAACGATAACAGAATATTACAAAGGGGCTTGCTTTAGGTATTTTTGGGGAGATCTGGATGAAGAAGCAATGATGACAGTCTGGAGTGGGGGTAAGAGAGGGTTAGCTAGGATCCACAGGGTAAGAGAATTAAAGGATGCCAATAAAGGTACAATACCAGTCCCGTGCAAAGATTTTCCTCATCTCCCTTGCAGAGAGACATAAATAAATATGTTGACTAGCATCTACACTCCGCTCATTGGACAGGGTGGGAAGAACAGGAAAGCTGAAGAAAAGTATGTATGTATGTAGGCATTTTATTTATTTATTTGTTGAGTCAGAGTGTCACTGTTGCCAGGGCTGGAGTGCAACGGCACAATCATGGCTCACTGTAGCCTAGATCTCCTGGGCTCCAGTGATCCTTCTGCTTCAGCCTCCCAAGAAGGCATTACTACAGGAGTGCATCACCATGTCTGGTTAATTTTCTGACTTTTTTTGTAGAGACAAGGTCTCACGTTTTTGCCCAGGCTGGTCTCGAACTTCTGGGCTCAAGCAATTCTCCTGTCTCAGCTTCCCAGTTAATTTTTTGACTTTTTTGTAGAGACAAGGTTTCACTTTGTTGCTGAAAGGACATAAGATGGAATCAATATACCCAGTGAGCAGTCATTTTAACATTGCCTAGTTCTGTCATATTCTCTTAACATTACTTAACTTGCCCTCTAATCACTAGCCAAGGACAGAACCGGGCTTCTTAGAGATAGTTAATTGATAATTGTCTTACAACCCCTTCCCCAGCTTGTTTTGCAAACAAGTTAACCTAATCAGCCCTTCTGACCTTCCCGCCATGTTTTCCTAAGCCTTGGCCCCCTCCTCTACCTTGGGGAAGTGAATTTCCTCTCTATCTCTCATTTAGTATTCTAAATAAACTATATATGCTCCAATCTAACTTCTGTGCAGTTCTTTGCATCTTTTGTGTAGCACCGGATTGCAGATCCCCCTCTGGTCTGACTTAACATTTTGGAGGCATCACTGGGATCTTTGACCTAACAGGTTGGTCTCGAACTCCTGGGCTCAAGCAATTCTCCTGCCTCGGCTTCCCAAAGTGCTGGGATGACAGGCCTGAGCCACCACACCTAGCAAAGGTTGTATCTAAATAGTGCCTGAAACACCGAGCAGTTCATTAGCTCTGGGGAGGAGAATTTAATGGGTGAAGAAAGAAAGGTATGTCATTCCAGGAAGAGAAAAGCAGGAATGAAGGGGTGGACTTACTTAACGGTGACCTTAACTCCCAGCGAGGGGGAGGGGATGGCTGACTAGAAATGTCTGCTGGGGCCACAAGGGAGACTGGAGCCTCGAAGGCCAGACCCAGACCTCTACTCCATGGCTAGTGGAGAGTCATTTCCAGCATGATGGGTATCCAACGATGGCTGACCTGGGAGTTCCTTGAATTAGTTGGAGAGGTGAGAAGCAGGTTACATAGGAAGCGCCGCAAGGGTCCAGGGTAGTAGTAGAAACAGAGATGAGGAGGGTACATGACAGTTCAGACATTTCAGGGATCATTATTTTTAAAAAGAATGTAAAGAAGGAAAGAAGAGAGCATCATACAAATTTTATTTCACAACAGTGTTTTAAATACTCCTATTTCTGTTAAAAAATAGTAGAAATATGCATATGAGCTACAAACAAAATATCTTAGGAAGGACATAAAAAATATGAGTTATGGGTCATGGAAAAGGGACTGGAGATAGAGGGAGACGACCTTTATACCTCTGGCATGCTGAACAATGTGGATATATTATTCATTAGCTAGTAAAAAGAATATATGATTCCCCCCTTCCTGCCAGGTATACAGGCAGAAAATAGTGAAAAAGAGGAAAGGTTTCAGAGACAGATCAACCAATCTAGGTCCCATTTCTGGCTCTGACATTTCCTAACTGTGGAGTTGTGGGCAAATTAATTAATTTCTCTTAGTTTCTGTCTTCTTATTTGCAGAGATGGGGGATAATATGGGCTAATTCCTGGGTTATTATAACAATAATTAAAATAATCCTAGTCAAAGCATCTGGAAGAGTATCTGGCAGACTCAATATGTAGTAGCTACTTTATTATCAATAAAACTTCTTTGATGTGAATACATTTTAATATGCCCATTATCTAACCTTATTACTACACTAAATATTTACACTGTATAAAACTATTAATGCAATCCATCTGATGAACATCATCCATTATGCATCAGTTTCTAGAAATTTAAGCTTAACATATATGACTTATCTTCATTTCTAGATGTTAGTTTTTCTTTGTCTTTAAATACCATTGTCTATAAATTTACTCAAGTCATGTATTCACAGAGGGCTAATTACCAACCAGGTGTCATAAGGCACACAAACAAAAATTAGATTTAAACAAGTTGCTATCCTGCAGAAACTGGCAACCCCAGTGAGAGAAACAGGTGTGACCTTCAAGTAACCATGGCCCAGATTTGGCACAAGAGATGGAAATACTAGCAATGAAGTACCCAATTCTGTCTATGCATCTGCTGGTAAGATGCTACATCACATGCTCTAGGAGATTACTCTTCAAGCATTTTCTTAGGTTTGTGGGTTCCTTCTGCATAATACAGTGTTGTAAATCAATTGTAACTGGGGCAGTAACAGCACTGCAAAAGACTGGTCACTCAAAAGCCTTACTACTTGTTTGAACAGCCCCATCATTATTACAGCATCATCAAACAGAAGTATCTTTGTTGTACGTTGAGATGAATAATTGCAAGCCATTTTCATGTAAGATGTTCTGGCTCAGATCTGCCCCAGTCTCTAAAGCTGAAATCTTGGATGGTTTGGGAAAAAAAAGAAAAAAAAAAAGGCTAGAGTTTAGGAAAGATGCTTGCTAAAGGCAAGAAATAATGATAAAAACACATTCCTTGGGATTTCAGAAGAGTTAGTGAACGCTTCAAGCAAAATGAAAGCATAAGTCCAGAGGAAAACGCCTTTCACTTTATATATGGCACTGTGGAAAGAGTGTTCTTGCGGATGCTTAACAAAAACCATCCACGGAATTATTCAAATATTTCTCTCGGACACAGACGGGTCTTGAGAGAAACATCAATGCTAGTGTGTAGAAAAGCAGCAGTAGAACGTAAACACCAATTTCTAAAGAAACTTTCACCAATACTGCAAATATTATAGGTGTGCACGCTGGAGGCACGACTGACTTCCTATTTTAGAAACAAGTCTTGTTTCGGAGCCACGGAAGGGTACACCCTGGTATTCACCCCCTATCCACCTACGGTCGAAGAAGCTTCAGGCTACATATTACAGTTGAATGGAGGCTGGATTAAGAGGCTAATCTAAGGCTATATATAGACAGCAACACCAATTTAATCTCCGCCCTCTCTACCCTCCCCTCCCTATTACCATAAATCTGAAGATCTGAGTTACAAAGAGACTGGGAACTCCAGCAGAGCGAAGAAGCCCTTCCTTCCCCCTCCCCCAGGCTGTCTCCCATCCACGAAGTATCAGTGCAAGTGTTAATTGTTTCCAAATCTCCTTAACAGGCACCACAGGGCGATCAGGTCTGGTTTTCTTCTGCACCTTGCAGAAGAGGCCAGAGAGGAGATGACAAGTGGCGCGGAGGTCGCGGCTTGCCACAAGAAAACTACCTTCTCCCGAGTCAGCTCTCATCCTGCGCTCGCACGCTTGCCAGGGGAGCCTCTTCTCCCACCCCTAGCCCAGAGCCCCGGCCCGGCCTCCCCGGGAGCCGCGTCTGGCGGTGCCGCGCACGAGACCATGTGCACCCGCCACTTCCCACCGCGTGGCCCCCGCCCGCTCGCGGTCTCAGGGTCTTCCCGGGCGGCCCAACGCGGCAAGCGGGAGGTCCCCATCCCCGGGCGCGGAATCACCGTGCGTGCGGTGATGACGAGGTGGAGCGGGGGCTTCTCACCGAGAGGCAGGAAGCCGCCCCGAGAGGCACACGCTTCCCCCCTGCCAGCTCCGGCCCGAGAGGAAGCCCCCGCAGGGCGGCGATCGCAGCCCCCGCAACCCTCCCTGCAACCCCCCCGGCCCCACCTGGGCTGCTTCTTACCTGTCCGAGGAGGTAGCGACGACGCGCAAGGCTGAGGGCAGCGACGATTCGTGCAGCG